GTCCGGTGGATCTTCTTGCGGGACAACGATTTGAGGGAACAGAAGGATCTAATTGGTTTTGTGTCATCGAAGTTGAAGCTCCAACGGGATCCGCGGTGTATGTATTTCTGGCGAGCATGGTGAGCGATATCCAGGTGATGCAATGCCGGTGGGGGCTCTGACAGGTGGAATCGCAGTTGGAAAAGTGCGACTGCTGAGTATTGAAGTATTGGTGTTACTGGATGGACTACGAAGGATATAATCCATGCGAGGATACTCCATACCAGCTGGCTGTTGATCCACATCATTGCCTGGGTAATGAAGCTACCAGATACAGGTCCCGGCTAGACGAGTTAAGGGAGCTAGCCAGGAAGGAAGCCGGTAAATCGGTAGTCCAAAACACACACGATTGCAAGTTAAAACAAGGGATAAAGTCACTGATATTGTCGGGAGGATAGGCTACTGTTAAAATGGCTGAGATAACAGTAAAAATAGTGACAAAGAAACGACAGTATTGGAGTAATACTCAGTAGTTCCAGAGAGCAGCGGCAGCCAGTCGTGCCAGCGTTCACTCTCTCAGAAGTCTGTATGAAGTTGTTGTGAGTGTGGAGGGAGCAGCTACAGGTTAGCTTAGCCTAATCGATCAGTGCACTGCGAAGCCAGTGCTAGACAGTGAACTGTGAACGGGGGGGAACCCCGCCGGTCATTATCGGCCGATATTCACTCTTAATAGTTTGATCGGTGCTCTCTATAAAGGCCGATCAGGAGAGCTGGATCTGATCGATATGGACATAAATGCGAGTCAAGTTTTAGCGAGCTGCATAAGAAACTGACGGGCTGTCAGGAGAGAGGGAGGGAGAGGATCCGTTACTCCCGTGTTATTAGCCATATCCGGTCATAGTCCGGTAATTACCTGCTAACGGAAACTCTGCTACACAATCCTTATTATTCTTATTATTATTGAAACATGACCGGTAAGTTTCAAATTTGTCCGGTAAAATCAATTCTGTCTGCAGAAACCCTGCTCCGGACAGCGCAAAATGCATATATGAAGTGTCATGAATGCAATAAATCATACCCTCGTGGGGACGCGCTCATGTGATTGGCTTAGAATGAAGGAGATATCTGATTGGCTATAGATAGAAAAAATTACAAGTACGAATCGGCTGACCGTCAGGGGAGTCTCAAAAAACCCACACACGAATGCACAGCGATCCGTGCACAGAAAGCGGGTTGTGTTTGCAGGTTCAGAGGTTTTAAACGGAAAACAAATATGTGAGGATCAAAAATACATCTATAAAACTTTTTTCTGTATTTGGATTTTATTTACATGTATATGAAACAGAACACATTTGTGTGTGCATTGAAAAACATAAGTGTGGATCCGGAAATACAAGTGTGAATCCTTTTGCGGATCATGAAATACAAGTGTGTATCCTTCTGTGTTCTGAGCCCATAAGAACTGCTACCACTATTTTGACTACCCATGTATACAAAGATCAGAAATACATTAAGATTAATCTATTTATCTCTCACTTTGTATTCCTAACGAGCTAAACTGTCAAAATAATGTGTCAAAATCTGTTGCCACCCGAGTTATTCCTGGTTAAATAAAAGGATTTCAGCCTCATCATTCACTGTAACTGCTAAGTAAATACAGTAGTTTGCTTTATTACAAGTGTTTATTGCATTACCAGTTGTGGCACTCCGCTTTCCTCTGCCCTGGATTCCATCTTTTGTCGTTTTATGAACTGGGGCATCTTGGACAACTATCCCATCACCCATCTCCTTGATCTTGTCCATTACTGCCTGCGGATAGCTGAACGCGAGTAAAAAAAGGACAAATAATCATCATCTGTGTGCCCCTTTCTTTGATTTCCAGATAGTATAGCTCTGCTCTCGTCTTACCAGCAGCCCAGGAAAACGTTGTTGGCCCAGACCATGGACAGAGAGAGCAGCCTGTCCAGACTGCTGCTGGGGACTCCGTGTTCCAATGTCGGGAAAGCCTCCATGTTTCTAAGTATGAACTCTCTACGAGCTACCCACTGTTTGTTGCTCTCGGAGTAGCTCCTGAAAGTGTCGACCCATTGGGCCAGCTCGGGGTTCTGGCCCAGGTACTCTGAAACGGTGTCCTCTTCGCTCTTCTCCCCCGCCATCCCTGCAATAACAAACACTTGTTCAATTATTTGTATGGCATCTAAGTCAGTACTGCTAGCGTGAGAGAGGCTAACAAGTCTAGTTAAACCCAACACGTTTTTAGAAGACTTGTTATATTGATGTACCTAATTGTTTTTAGAACGCATACAGCTTGTGTTTAGTTGCTAACTTGCCAGGCAACGTTATTAGCCACATTAAGCTAACCAGTTGATGTTTTACAGAGTGCGACTGACAAACCGACTTTAGCAACAAAGCCAAAAGGCTATATTAGCCAAGTCAAAATAGCTCTTACAGAAGCCACGTTGATAATTACAACATTGTATCAACCTTAACAATATTAAAATGACGTGTTATCCATATCTTCTACACCCTGTATGAAGTACTAATTTAACCTGTAACTACGACATACCAAGCTCTCTCCGTTGTGATGTGCTGCTAGCTTCCTACATGACCGACTGATGACGCAAGATTGACTACCACGCTGAATTTCTTTAGCTAGAGGAACTTCATTACCCAGAAGCGCAGTGCTAGCTACAGGTGCTAACGTTTGTTACAATTGCTAACATGGTTAACGTCTCCTAGTACGATAACAACTATTAATAGATAACTTTTGATAGATTTTGAAATTAAATTAAAAGGTGAGCGAAAGAGAAAGGACGTACTGTAGTTACCTCTGTTGGCTAGCAACCAGCCCGTGTCCCATGATGCTTTGCGTCGTAACGTAGCCAACCTGCGACAGACAGCTCGGGCGGCGGTTTGTTTTGGATGAGATGCTCACTGCTGCATGTTCTACGTTTATCAATTAAAGGTGAATTAACATGATTCACGAGCTGTTGCTGGCGTTGAGTGGGTACCCGGGGACCATTTTCACATGGAACAAACGAACGGGTTTGCAGGTAAAACTAAAACACGGAAACATGCAGCTCTTTATCAAAACAGCGCCTCTGATATGCCATTTACATGCTAGCTAGCTGTAAATCTACTTTGCTGAAAGCACAAGTATAGCCTACTTATCTGCTCTGTTGTGGATTTACACAGTACCAGTGACCAGTTTATTTGGAATTCTATATATTTTCACTGTATATTACTTCTTACTTCAATTGCTGAACATGTATCCTGTGTTGAATACAGTTGTATCTTATCCTGTCGTATCCTACGTATATATATGTATAGCAAAGTTAATCTGACCTTTATTTTACGGACCGAGGGAGGGAAGCAAAACTGAGAGAACATGCCAACTTTATACAGACAGTGAGATAACAGTGCTAACCTCTGCACTGTCATGCGACACTGTATAGATAGATAGATGGATGGATAGATAGATAGATAGATAGATAGCACAACGAGCTAATCTTTCTTATAAAGAAAAGGAATGTGGATATATCTATTCAGAACAAGGTTCAAGCATGCAAGCCTCGTTTATACAGCACTGTAAAACTGGCATGCTACAGGGTTAAACAGGTCTATATGTAGAGAAAAAGTGTTCGGCATTGTGCATCACTGTAACTGTATTAGAGGCTCACAATGTTTATTTTTGGACCTGAACCCCTTTGTTCCACCCACAGGTGTCCCAGGACCTGCCCTTCCTTCACCCCAGCGAGACCAGTGTCCTCAACCGGCTCTCTAAACTGGGCTCAGATTACATACGCTTCACAGAGTTCATAGAACTACACACCGGCCATGTGCATCAACAGGTACAACATTTAAGATAGTTAGCTTGCTAAAGCTAAACGTTCAGTTTGTGAAAGAGTCCCTAAGCCCTCCCTATCTAAACTGTCTTTCTCTTTTAAAAATCATGCTCTATCTAATGGGTTTTTCTCAACATTTCTTCCTTTAGGAACATCACACGAACCAGCCCAACCAGACGGGACTTCATGGCATTTACTTGCGGGCTTTCTGCACGGGGCTGGACTCCATCCTGCAGCCGTACAGACAGGCCCTGCTGGACCTCGAGCAGGAGGTAAAATGATGACACACAGCAACAAGAACACATGTTGGAGCATGAGACGTGATGCTCATTCGACCTGTGTATGTGTTTCAGTTCCTTGGAGATCCACATCTGACAATATCTCATGTGAATTACAAGCTCGATCAGGTAAAACATAAATACACTTTAAAAAGGACTTTTTTTTTTCATTACAAATATACTAAACACACTTTCAGTGGAAAGTTATTCAACATTCAACAGATGTTTGTCTAACACTCTACTTTCTTCTAGTTCCAGTTGCTGTTTCCCTCTGTGATGGTGGTTGTGGAGACTATCAAATCACAGAAGGTAAGTGTTGTTTTATTGATCACATCTTATTTTGCCAACATTTCAGAAATGTGCCGAACTTGCTGAACAATTTGAAAAAAAGACTATTGCTTTACGGTGCAGCCCATGTCTCTGTACATTTTCTTTAGACTAAATGAACAAAGAGGCTGATAGAAACATGATGTTTAAACTGGGACGGCACTAAGGGGAGTTTCTCAAATGAAAAGAACACTTGACTTATCTATATTAACACTTGTTTAATAGAACTGACAGCTATGATCTGTTCTCTTTGTCTTTGGTGCGTCACTTTAGATCCACGGCTGTCAGATCCTGGAGACGGTGTACAAGCACAGCTGTGGGGGGCTCCCTCCTGTACGCATGGCCCTAGAAAAGTAAGTCAGATTACCTTAGGACACACTTTCATTCATGTTTGAAAGCTAGGGGAAGGGTCATCTATATACCTCATATTCCTTTTTATATTACTACTGTTAAATCCGTTTTCTCAATTTCTATTGCATACTATACTATGACTTTTAAATGAGGTTTTCAAGACATGCTATCATTCACTTCTTACTACTTTATAATACTAGGACCTTTTTAATTACAAGTCATATGACGTACTATAACTTTAAAATGGCATACTTTAAATATTTAATTTATTTACATTATTATTTAATTTATTTACATTTTAAGGAAAGACTGTACTATGAATCTTCGAATAATCGATTAATATTCGCCAGGGCTGTCCGATTTTCGAATTTGATCATGGTCAGTTTCTGGCATCCCTACTAAATAACCCTGTTGAAATAGGTCATTATTTTAGATGATGATTTAGTGCGTGGTGGGTTGGCAGAGACATATAACCAAGGTGACAACTGGAAGAAGCTTAAATAGTGAGGTGTCAAGATTTCAAAAGTAAAGTGTGTCATGATTTTATTTCTGCTTTTCATTAAAAAAAATGCTATTTTCTGAAACCTAAAAAATTAGTTTTTACATGGTGCAGGATTCTTGCTGTGTGCCACGGGGTGATGTACAAGCAGCTGGCAGCGTGGATGCTGCACGGTTTGCTGCTGGACCAGAGCGAGGAGTTCTTCGTGAAGCAGGGGCCCAGTGCAGGGGGGGCTGCTGCCAACCAGGAGGAGGAGGAGGAGGACCTGGGGCTGGGGGGCCTGAGTGGGAAACAGCTGCGAGAACTACAGGACCTGGTGGGAACTACAACCAGACACACAAGATCACACCTATCATCAGTATGTGTTTCAAACAGACTCCTGACTCTGTGCTTCTGTGTGGGGGGGGGCAGAGGCTGATCGAGGAGGAGAACATGCTGGCACCGTCCCTGCAGCAGTTCTCCCTGCGGACAGAGATGCTGCCGTCCTACATCCCCATCAGAGTGGCTGAGAAGATCCTCTTCGTTGGAGAGTCCGTCCAGATGTTTGAAAACCACAACCACAGCCACAGCCCCTCGAGAGCCGGTAGTGTATTTAGTGTGATCCAAGTGACATCTTGCACTTTAGCAAAGTCACTTTTTTGTCTTTATATCACAAAGACAATACAACTCAATATTGTTTTGTGTATTTCAGGCTCCATACTGAAGCACCAGGAGGACTTGTTTGCTGCCGGGCTGCACAGACTCAAACAGCAGCCTCTGTTCAGCCTGGTGGATTTTGAAAATCTGATCGATCACATCAGGAGCACAGTAGCAGAGGTGAGCTCATACACAAATGATTCATCTAATTCTTTAACCAGTGTTATAATAGTGTTATGCTGGTCATCGTGTCTAAAGATTTAAATACCCCGGACAACATGATCTGTGTTTATTTTGGAGCTTAAAAACAATGAATAGGAAGGCAATATAAAGAATGGCATCATCAAGGCATGCAGATGAATGTATTATTTAACAGTATGAAAGCCCTCTTAACACAAAGCATTTCTCTAGGTTTTAGGCCTTCATATCATTTTCTCATATTTTTGTGAAACAATACATTCAACAAATCAAAGTGCATGTTCAAGTAATACCGTTCAAATTGTGCTTGTCGGGGATTTTGTTAACATGTCATCATGAGTTAAATTTGTCGTATTTCAACAGTCAAAGTTCAGTAAATACCGGCTTGCATAAACTCAGCTTTTAACTTGATAACACTCCAAAAAGCCCCCACTCTCAATGTGACGAGATGAATTCCTCTCTCCCTGTCCCTCGCAGCACCTCTGGACGCTGATGGTGGAGGAGTCGGACCTGCTCGAACAGCTCAAGGTCCGTGTGGATCTCAGTCTTTCTAAATTCTAAATCAGAGATGAATCAACGATGGTAACTTTAGTTTTCTCTTGCAGATTATAAAGGACTTCTACCTGCTGGGTCGTGGTGAGCTCTACCAGGTGTTCATCGACCTGGCGCAGCACATGCTGAAGACCCCCCCCACAGCCGTCACTGAGCACGGTAATCTGACACGCAGACTAGAACAATACATTTACACCTGCAACAACCACAGCAGGGTGTAAGGGTCCATTGATATTTATAGATGAAACTGTTTAAGTGTATCCATCCAACTTCATAATGTCACATATCGGGAAATTAATGTATTATATAATATAGTTAGGTAATAAGGAAGGAGGCAGTTGCGTCATACTACTTAAATAAGCAGCATTGGGGTATTATTTACCCCATTTGGGATTTAGAGATTGTTGTTTGGGTATACTATATATAATGACTGATCAGTGAAAAAAAAAGGTAAATGTATTTAGGAACTAGAGATGTTAAGATTCACCGATTCGCATCGGTGCACCGGCATAAACGTTCAAGATGCGAGTGCAACGGTTGAAAGAGTGCACATCGGCTACAGTTTGGGTTGAACCGGGTTGAACTCGCGATGCATCGATTGCGTAGCGTCTTTGCATCGGTAAAAAACCGATTCATTCATATAAAATCCCCTCATCTTGTCAACGCTCAGCAGAGACGATCTTTGATATTTGCTTCGCCACTACGGAGGCCGAGAGTCTCAGTTATCAACACACACGGAAGTTGAGGAGAAAGAGAAACACAGCGCACAGAAAAATACCTCCAAATCAAACGTTTGGCAACACTTCGGATTGTTCAAGAAAGACGGTGTAATAGTCAT